CACCTCAAAGCATATTATCTGTACATATTGCATATGCTTCCCCTTTCAATAACGAGCTAGATCAAGCTATTGATTATACCAAGAAGTGAGGTGGTCAATGTCTAGAAAGGACTGGGTGAGTAAATGGTTATAATGTTTATCTTTGGTCCTGTGAAAACAGTGTACATCAATAGGAGTATCTATTAAAATACATCATGGAAAAATTTGAATGGTGCCCTTTATGTCATCACACTACTGAAAGAAATGTACGTTACATTTTCAAGGATCTTCTAGATAAGAAATTCTCACCATGTAGGCCTAATTTTTTGGATGGGATGCATCTCGATGGGTATAATGAGGAATTGTGTCTTACATTCGAATTTTAGGGATCCCAGCACTATCGACACAATAGCTTATATCATCGGAAAAGCGAAAGTTTAGAAACCCAGAGAATGCGTGATCAGAAGAAGCGGGATATATGCAAAGACCAAAGTATATGCCTTATTGAAGTGTCATACATATGTGACCCTTTTTCCTATATTAAACATACACTTATCAAAAAAGGATTCTTGAGTAATTCTTCAAGTTAGGTCAGAGAGAATTATTTGGTCTCTACCTTTTCTTGGCATTTTTCTGAGACCGCGCGGTCCTGCAAATTTATTAAAAAATTCATTTTGATGTATAATACTATATGGAATTCTTTGTGTATAACGTTGATGAGATTCCCAGAAAATCTTTGAAGCAAATGAAGGACAATAAATATAATCCAGATTGGCCTTTTCGTCTTCTAGTTACTAGAGGTTCACATAGCGGAAAAACTAATATAGTTATAAATCTTATTTTAGGCAACAAACTCCAACGCATGTTTAAAGGAAAGAAGAGAATAGATATATTAAAATGATGACCTCAAATTGGTTGGAAAATATGCCGAGCCTAAATGGGAGCTGATTAAAAATGCTTTCCATATTTTTGCGAATAGCCCTAACCCATATCGGAAGAATATCTCATTTCAAATAATAAAGGTTGAAAAAATTCCAGATATAAGCAAATTCTTCCCAAAAAGAAGTACTGTTATTGTTTTTGAAGATCTCTGTGCTGAATCAAAAAAAATACAAGAACGTATCATCCCTTACTTTATTAGTGAACGGCATCAAAACAACTCACTAATATATATAACCCAAAAATATCAAGCTGTGCTGAAGATAATTCGTAAAAATATCTCACATCTAGTCATGTTCTGAGGGAGTGGAAGCAGAGAGGATATCTATAGAGTTGTGCGTCAATATACGGATGATCCAAAAAAAGTATCCAAAATTATTGACAAGCATTTACAAAATCAGAATTTTATAGTTTTCGATTTTACTAAGGCGATAGATGATCCATTAGCGATTAGACTAGGTTGGAATACACCTTTGAAATTAGAAGAATAAAATCTAAAAATTAGTGAATCTTTGTTCACAATAAAAAAATTATCCTTAAATAATGCTTGTACTATTACCAAATCTCATGGTGGAATATGCCTTTCAACTGAATACAAAGATAATAAAACCCCATTAATATGGAGCTGTTCTAAGAATCATACATGGTGTGCTATACTTCATAAAGTTAAAAATTGTGGAACATGGTGTTCACATTGCGCAGGTAATGTAAAACATACTCTTGAAGATATCAAAAAAATCGCATTATCTAAACATGGGGAGTGCCTTTCAACTAAATATAAAAATAACCAATTACTATTATTATGACGTTGTAAAGAAAACCATTTATGGCATGCATCTCTTGGAAATGTGAAAAGTGGTAAGTGATGTCCATATTGTGCAGGCAATGCTCGTCTTACTCTTGAAGATACCAAGCAAATTGCATTTAGCCGAAATGGTAAATGTCTTTCGACCACATATAGAAATCCCTATACTTCAATGATGTGAAAATGTTATAAAGGTTATATTTGGAATATCCCGCTTAATAATATTAAAAATTCTGGTTCATGGTATCTATATTGTGCAGGTCATATGAAATTAACTCTTGAAGACGCAAAACAAATCGCATTATCTAGACATGAGGAATGCCTTTCAACTGAATATAAAAACATAGCTGAACCGCTTACTTGGCATTGCCAATCTAATCACCAATGGCAAAATACACTTAATCACATTAAAAATGGAGGACAATGGTGTCTGTTTTGTATTGGCCGATATCAATCTATTGAGGATATGCGTAAACTTGCGCAAATAAAAAATGGAGATTGCCTTTCAGATCGATACTATAACTCATCTGTCAAGCTAGAATGGATTTGCAAGAATAAATATAGATGGGAAGCTGTTCCCAATAGTATTCAATAAGGAAGCTAGTATCCATATTGCGCAGGTCATATGAAATTAACTCTTGAGGACGTAAAGCAAATTGCATTATCTAAAGATGGGCAATGCCTTTCAACCGAATATAAAAATAATCGATTGCCACTATTATGGTGTTGTAAAGAAGGCCATATATGGCAAGCATCTCTTTGTAATGTGAAAAGTGATACCTGGTGTCCATTTTGTCATAGATATAAACGCGAACAATTATGTCAAGAAATTATAGCAAAATATCTTGATCCACCATCTGAAAATCGCAGACCAGATTTCTTGAAAATTCCTGAGCACCCTAAAGGATTAGAACTCGATATCCCCTATTATGAATATGGATTTGCAATTGAAGTACAAGGAGAGCAACACGAAAAATATATAGAATTCTTTCATAGAGGCGATCCCAATAATTTTATCAAACAGCAAGCGCGGGATCAACTCAAGAAAGAATTTTGCAAAGAGAATCAGATTGCCTTGAGATATGTTTGGTATTATGAAGACCCGTATATAGTTATTCCAGGGCATCTTCGAAAATTGGGTCTCATTAAATAAACTCGAAATTTTAAATGCTTATGATCAATTGCATATTGTGCTAACGAAACTTTTTATATTATTTTTGTGTTAAAAAGTCAGGATTTAAAAATTCGAATGCACTTTTTTGTAATGCCAATTTGTATTAAAATTTATTTATCCGATACACACACGTGTATTTCCAAGATACTAACAATGTAACACCTCCATTAATAATAACTCATTATCCAAGTAAATTATAGTTACTATACTAAAGCTCAATACTTGCACTCGTTAATAAAACTAATCGGTTCTCTAATCTTTATGCTTTCTTTTTCTTTGGCTGTTTTGGTGGCGTTCGCTGAGTCTTCTTATTATCTGACGATGTTACGGGGGGAGTTTTAAACCCATCATCATCATCATCAACAGTATCGAATTCCCGAACCAAGGAGTTAATCAAGCCCTGTAATTATTAATGAAATGATAGTCAGATATTTCCAGTGACATTATTCTGGTATAAAAAAATCAAGACTCACCCGAATGTTCCATGCTACTCTTAAAGCAGATTTCAGATAGTGGTAAGCCGAAAATGTAAGCGGAAGATTAAATGATTTTAGATGATGGAGGAAATATACCTCACGTTTCTCCATCAGGTAGACTCGAACCTCTGTCATATATGTCTGAGCAAATATAAACAAAGCATGTAAGTACTACTTCCCTTTACATATATCCACGTATGAGTAATTATCGCACCTGGATCCCAAGAATATATGGATGCAATCCGTTCTTTCCGGCATACAGGAGCTTTAATTCTAAGTCATCGAGCATATCCTTCATAATTCTTGGAAGGTTAAATTCATCTGAGGCGAGTTTAGTTAGATCGTAGGTATATGGTCCACCGCAAGCAAGCGCGCAAGCAACCTCGTATTGCTCATAATTACATAAGAGATCCACCTGATGACTTCGCTCAACTTGTTCGGTAAGTATATCCTTGTCATTATTTCGACGGCGCTGGGTTGCGAGGACAGAAATCTCTCCCCTTAACAAAATTCGGGTTAGGGTTAGGGTTAGGTTTAGGTTTAGGAAAAGGGAAATCATATGTTATGCACATGTACGGTACGAGATTCGCAACTTACCATGGGACATAACTTCCATCTAATTTCAGAGCTCCTTGTATTAAAGGGATGATATAGTCGCCAGTCCACTCTCGTTCATGACAGTCATTTTGTAGCGGATTTCGAAGGGACTCAAATGCGTCTAGACTATAATTATAAAACAAAAAAAAACGATTGCATCATAACAAAATTTGTCATATTGCGCGATAAATAATGAGTCTAACAACGTACAATTGTCCCGTTACTCGTTCTACCCAACGCTTTATTTTTTCCCAACCAACCTCTGCATATGAAAAACTATCGTCATATTTAGGAGTAGCCAAATTTCTAAGTTCGTACCATCTTTTACGAGCTTGTGATAGATCCGCCTAAAATAAGGAAAAAATCAACGATAAGACCAAGTTTACTTTCTAACTCGAAAATCCTTACTTTTTGTCCAAACAAGTGGGAGATAATAGGCTCGATCTCGTGATGGTAAATCTTCCGGACCGCATCAGGTCTTCTTCCGACTAACTCAGTCCACTGCTTATCGTTAAATTCACCTTTTATTTTTGAAGTCGGAGACAGATCTATAATAAAACTGTGTGCTGGGCTAAAAAAAAATAAATGGAAAGTGAGCGGTAGCCAAGATATCATTAACCAATTACTACAACAGTTACTTGTAAAGTGAGGTTGTTTCTTTAGCACGATAATTCTCTAAAAGAGGTAATAAGAACGAATCACTTGATGTTTGTTGCCGAGAACAAGACTCGGAAAAGACATCCATAACATAGTTGGATGAATGTGATTCCTCTTCGACTCTTTCTGTATCTTTGTCATCCTTTCGCTCTTTAATTGATGTAATTATTTATAAAGGAACCATAATGTTTACAAATTACATTAATTTAACGTACCATCAAAATTATCATCATCTGCTTTGGGTATTGTATTTGCGTCAGGCTAGAAAGAGAAAAGCTCAAACGCTTACTACCAAATAAAAACATTTTACCAAAAAAAAATAACAAAAGATACTATACTTGTTTTTTGTCCTCTTCTGAAATTATTGTCTCTTGTCTAGGGCGTTTGGATGAACGATCATCTTCATCCGTATTTTCTATATATCTGTCATACGCACGTGCCTTCAGTTTCGACTCTTATAAATTTTCTTTTGCGTTCACGAGATTTTCGGTGGCATTTACAAGACCCTCGGTTGCATTCGTGTCAACCTGTCAAATAAGTTGGTCTACATATATGTACATACACACAAATTTAACGACGATCAATTAACGTACCTGTGTATCAATTCTTTTAAAAAATGAGGTAACTTCTACGCGTTGAAATGAACGTTCCGCAGTATCATACAGCTTAGAGGCTTTGTCTTTTGCTCTTTTAAGTGTTGATGTAGACGAAGATATTGAACGCAGATGATTCCTATATTTGCCGAGAATTTCGTCCTGATCTTCTGATGTCAAATGCACACACACTTTTGCTAAATGTTCAAGACAACCCATATAACCCCAGGCTTCAAACTCTGTGTTACTGAAATAGGAAGAAATTCCGCTTGAAATATCTAACTATAAAGAAAATTTAGAATAATTTAGTCACTATGAAATATGATACTGTAGGCATTAACTATAAGAAAAACACGGTAATGGCATTGACAAAAATGAGTTTCTGGAAAGAATTTGTTGCAACGAATCTATCTGAGGGGATTACAACTGTAATGAGTCCTAGTAGGCGTTGCAAGTCCCTCTTCCAAACATTGGCCGCAGGAATCCATATAATGGCCAGGTCACGTACGGACATAGGAAACTCATTTAAGTCTAATATACTGGAAAGAGTTTGTTGCAACGAATCTATCTGAGGGGATTACAACTGTAATGAGTCCTAGTAGGCGTTGCAAGTCCCTCTTCCAAACATCGGCTGCAGGAATCCAATATAATTGGCCGGGTCACATACAGGCGTAGGTATACTTTGTGATGCCATCAGAGCATGGAGAAGCAAATATAGACGGTTTAGAAATTTGTTTCCTGTTTTTGTTCAGGTGAGGTTTTAAAACAATTACGAGGAAAAAAAAATTTGAAATATTTTTGGGGATCGATTTCTTATCAGTCACTGGTCATTTCCAGCGCAACGCCAATCACTAATTAAAATTTTTGTACTACGTGAATTTGCCTATCTT